AAGATTAAAGGGTCATTCTAACTCGACCCTGCGCCCACCCTCATTGATGACAGCAGCTTATAACAGTAGAGATTTATAAACATTGCTGCAGCTGAACGACACACCCCCTTAGCTGTCCATTAGGCAATCAGAATTCTGTCATCCAGACTGCCTACATTAGATTTGTCCAATTTGTGTGCGGCTCACGCATGAAGTAGGGAAAAGTTGAACTGTTTTCTCTCGCCTGACTGTTTGTTTCATAGAACTGATAGATGAGGAAATATAGCACCGGTGAAGGAGATTTGTTATTTGTCTGAGCCCAGAAGTCTGCAGTCCATTACCAGTGGGTAGGGCAGCTGTGGAGAGAAGTACTTCTAATAGTCGCACCTCTGCCCTGTGCTGTCAGCAGCATGAGATTACACTGACTGTCCAGCTATGTACAGAAGGCTGTAGTGGTTATAGTGCTCAGTGTGTTCCTTTAACACAGAAATATATAACTGAAGCTCCTACATACTAAATTATTCAGACTATACGATACACTGGAGTATAAGCTTTTTAGAAAAAAAATCATGCAAACAGTTGCTTTATCCTCCTGTTAATGTTTCGTATACCCTTTATTGTCTCTTGCTCCCCTTCTGTCTATGCCCCCCTTGGGTCTGTTGCACCCCCATTTATGTCTATTACCGCTGTTTGTGTCTCATCCCACCCCCTTCTTTCTTTAAAACTGCAACGTTTTACACTGCAGAACTAAGGGCAATAGGGACACTGTACCCAGACAACTTCAATGAGCTGAAGTTGTCTGGGTGCCTATAGTGTCCCTTTAAAGTAATTACACAGATAGATAACAGGCATCTGTTGTGCAACTGCTTTAACAAACAATGACTGGAGATTAGTACTGGACCATTTACTTATTTTCCTTGTGTTCTGGGCTATGCGTAAACTAATACTAGATGAGGTTCGGCTGTTCTACTTTTATAAACCAGCTGCAGTCATGAGTGGAATGTGATGAGTGGAACTGCTGCTGACAGATGAAATACTTATCCCATTAATTTCATCTGGATAGGGGTTTACGAGATAAGATCAGACAACATTGACCAGAATTAGAGACTCTTGATTGATGGATCCTCTTCCTGGTGGATGTGGTCTGCCTGCTACTGACACTTGTTAAAGTGCAATAGCTTTAGTAACCTTAAAAGGTATATATTTTATATAAGCACTGCTCTATGTATAGAACAGCTACAATACAGATACACAATGCTCTATATATAATACAAATACACTAGAGATACACTATGCTCTGTGTATATTACAGATTCACACACTGCTCTGTGTATAATACAGATACACTGTTCTGTGTATAATTCAGATACACTCTGCACTGTGTATAATACAGATACACTGTTCTGTGTATACTTCAGATACATTCTGCTCTGTGTAAAATACATATACACACTGCTCTGTGTATAATACAGATAAACACTGCTCTGTGTATAATACAGATACACACTGCTCTGTGTATAATACAGATACATTCTGCTCTGTGTATAATACAGATAAACACTGCACTGTGTATAATACAGATACACTCTGCACTGTGTATAATACAGATACATTCTGCTCTGTGTATAATACAGATACACACTGCACTGTGTATAATACAGATACACTGTGCTCTGTGTATAATACAGATACACACTGCTCTGTGCATAATACAGATACACACTGGTCTGTGTATAATACAAATAAACACTGCACTGTGTATAATACAGATACACTCTGCTCTGTGTATAATATATTTCCTACCTGTGCTATGTTAAGTTTTGTATATATTGTGTATTAAAATTGTTTTCGTATTTTATTGTGCCATAATGTATCAATGCAATGTTTTGTGGACCCAGGACATACTTGAAAATAAGAGAAATCTAAATGTATCTTTCCTGGTAAAATATTTTATAAATAAATAATACAGATACCACTACACTGTGTATAATACAGATAAACTCTGCGTATAATACAGATACACACTGCACTGTGTATAATACAGATACACTCTGCACTGTGTATAATACAGATAAACTCTGATCTGAGTATAATACAGATAAACACTGCACTGTGTATAATACAGATAAACACTGCTCTGTGTATAATACAGCTACACACTGCTCTGTGTATAATACAGATACACTCTGCACTGTGTATAATACAGATACACTCTGCACTGTGTATAATACAGATACACTGTTCTGTGTATAATACAGATAAACTCTGCTCTGTGTATAATACAGATACACTCTGCACTGTGTATAATACAGATACACTCTGCACTGTGTATAATACAGATAAACTCTGATCTGTGTATAATACAGATAAACACTGCTCTGTGTATAATACAGCTACACACTGCTCTGTGTATAATACAGATACACTCTGCACTGTGTATAATACAGATACACTCTGCTCGGTGTATAATACAGATACACACTGCACTGTGTATAATACAGATACACTCTGCACTGTGTATAATACAGATAAACTCTGATCTGTGTATAATACAGATAAACACTGCACTGTGTATAATACAGATAAACACTGCTCTGTGTATAATACAGCTACACACTGCTCTGTGTATAATACAGATATACTCTGCACTGTGTATAATACAGATACACTCTGCTCTGTGTATAATACAGATACACTCTGCACTGTGTATAATATAGATAAACACTGCACTGTGTATAATACAGATACACACTGCTCTGTGTATAATACAGATACACACTGATCTGTGTATAATACAAATAAACACTGCACTGTGCATAATACAGATACACACTGATCTGTGTATAATACAAATAAACACTGCACTGTGTATAATACAAATAAACACTGCACTGTGTATAATACAGATACACTCTGCTCTGTGTATAATATATTTCCTACCTGTGCTATGTTAAGTTTTGTATATATTGTGTATTAAAATTGTTTTCGTATTTTATTGTACCATAATGTATCAATGCAATGTTTTGTGGACCCAGGACATACTTGAAAATAAGAGAAATCTAAATGTATCTTTCCTGGTAAAATATTTTATAAATAAATAATACAGATACCACTACATGGTGTATAATACAGATAAACTCTGCTCTGTGTATAATACAGATAAACACTGCACTGTGTATAATACAGATAAACACTGCTCTGTGTATAATACAGATAAATTCTGATCTGTGTATAATACAGATACACTCTGCTCTGTGTATAATACAGATACACTCTGCTCTGTGTATAATACAGATACACTGTGCTCTGTGTATAATACAGATACACACTGCTCTGTGTATAATACAGATACACTCTGCACTGTGTATAATATAGATAAACACTGCACTGTGTATAATACAGATACACTGCTCTGTGTATAATACAGATACACTGCTCTGTGTATAATACAGATACACTCTGCTCTGTGTATATTATTCACACAATACAGATACTCAGTGCGCTATAATACTCGCACAATACAGATACTTAAGCACACACATTAACCTAGCACACACAGGTATGCAATCTGCTGATTGTATACTACAAATCCAAGCCTGGGTCTGGCATTACAGAGATACACAATGCTATGTAAAATACCAAAACAGTGTTTTGTCTAAAATACAGATTAACAACCTGATCACTATAAACCTGGTTACACATTTGAAATACAGATACCCACATTGCTCTGTCTAATAAAAGATAAGGAATCCCATGTTAATACCATACAATTGACTGAGGAAGAAGAGTGACAAAAAGATAAAATAAACTTTAGAACATTTTGGAGAGATTATCGGTGCAATGTGGGGGGACTGGTTAGTTGGTTCCTTACCCCCTCCTCCACTTGACGCCATTTTCCCAGGCCCGATGTAGTAGCCGCCCCTGCCAATGTGGAACCTTGGTCTACAGATGTATTTGCAAAGACCCACAACTTCCTGAGCAACATCACATCAGGAAGTACTCAGTGACAGAGTGTGCTCACCCAAAGGGCCTGCAAGTGTCTTATACACAGATCTCATGTCTATTACACACAATACAGAACATTTCTGTATTACAGGACAGCAAGTGAATGTTAAACAAAGAGCAACAAGTGGCTGTATTACACACAGAGCAGACATTGTCTGTGTTAAAGTAGTGTATTATTCTCTGAGTGCGTATTTATTTGTAATGTACACATATAATTAAATACCGCTTTTCAGTGCATCTTCTGGATTACCATTACTTTTAGAGGGCAGGCATCTTTGAGACCTATTTAGTCTATACAATTGCGTATGTGACAAAAACCACGCAGGTAATTAACAGCTAGTGTGCACTTATGGATCCTTACATCATATGCAAGCATCAGGCATCGAAAAATGCACTACGGGATGGGTTCTGAACATCAGATTGTGCATGGTCTTAACAGATAAGCGGTCTATTTTGACCAAAGAGGACTTAAAGATGGCCACTTCCACAGAGCCATGCTATTAACTGGAAAGGTGTATTCACTTTTTATGGATTTGTTATAAAAAAAAAAAATACATCACACTTTTATGACATGTAAAATTTTCTTTAACGTAATAATAAAAAACAAGTTTTTTTTAAACAAAAAGGCAGAACGTGTGTTATACAAAAAGGTCATCAAAAAGGTCTGCGCTATACCAACCGGTATGAAAGAGTCACTGGCAATGTATAGTACACACATTTATGTTAAGCATGATGTCACATCTTGTCAGAGCCGGGCTTTTAGTGTGCATTTGAAAAGGCAGTATTGAAGAGGGCAGAGAACTGACTAGCAATGAAGAATTTCTTTAGCCATCACACAGGACAAATAGGAAATAGAATTCAGATAAGGTTTTTTTAGTTGTTTTGTGTTGTTTTATCTAGTCTGCCCAATTTTCTAAATACTTTCATTAGTCCCTGGCCTTATCTTATAGTTATGATAGCCTTATTCCTATCCCACGCATGCTTAAACTCCTTTACTGTGTTAAAAACAGTAATTTCTCTTGCTGTGAACAGGATTTGAACCTGTGCGGGGAGACCCCATTGAATTTTGAGTCCAACGCCTTAACCACTCGGCCATATGAAGAAAATGCAGCAGTGGGAACCCATAACTCCAATGGACACTGAAAATACAGTGGACTTCAATTGTAGCTGTCTGAGAATATGTTATAGTCAGAACAGATATCCCTTAATCTAATATTGATAGAACCCCAAAACCAATAACATCTTACAAAAACTACCCACTATCCTTAATCCTAACAGTACTCCTTCTCCTAACCCTAAGTAACCCCACACTTTATTCCTATAGGCAACATACAAATATCACTATTAGGAACAGTGAGTAAAAATGAAAATAGGTCATTTGTTCCAGGAACAGAGCAGATTACAATCTAACATTCCTCTCCATTCTGACTATGATACAACTTTGTATATCTCTGGTATAATTGTTCACACATGTTGCAACACAAGCCACAAATGCAACAGAAATCAGCACACTGAAACTTCACAAGAGGCTGGGCCAGTGAGGATGTCAAACAGGAAAAGGCTGCATAGTGTAATCTTATTAGTTTTTGGGTCTAAGGCATGTTTACAGTCTTAGGGCGCGCACAGTTTTTATATCATGTATTCCTGTACGAAAATATTTAAGTTAATATTTAATAAGTAAATAATCTTTAAAGATTGCTTGTTTGTAGACGTGCAATTCGTTTCGGTCCGAAATAAAATTCGGCCGAATTTCGGGTAATTCGGACATTCGGGTGCTTCCGAATGTCCGAATAGCTGAATTACCGAAGTGCTGAATTGCCAAAGTCCTGAAATTACCGAATTTCCGAAGTGTAGTAGTGCTGAAGTGCCGAATTGCCGAAGTTGCCGAAGTTCCGAGGTGTCAAAGTGCCGAAGCACAGTATTGCCTAAGTACTTGTGGCGGAACCAGCCTCGCCACTGGGAATTGGAGAAGACTGATTGCCAGCCTCCTGCCATGTGACTATGGCCCCTGGGATGTATTGCCTGCTCTCCTGTACTGCTGAGGTTTGCTACCAACTAGGTGAATTTGGCTATGGAGCTTGTCTAGTGCCCTCTGTTGGTAGCAACAGCAATATGCACTACCTGAATAGCAAGAGCGATTCATCTGCATATTCGGGTAGATTTGCATATTGCTAATTCTGCAGGCACGTGAGATATTTTCTGTTAATTATTGTTTCCCCCACTTCTTTAAAAATATGCCATTGTGTTATAATAAGTCACTGTATGTTGCCTGCGATGATTTGACTGTTTGTGATTTTATTGAGTTTTCACAGCAATGTTAATGTAATGACCATATGGGCTAGTCCCAAGGAAAATAAAGTTTTAGACAGTTCTTCGTCACCCTCAATCTAGAGTCCTGTCTTTTATTCCAGAAGTTTGGTCCTTAAGGGGTTAAATACTTTATTTTCCTATGCAGAAAGGTCTATTCATGTATTTCTGCCCAAGCGTTCGGTAGATTCTATCTACCGAACAAACAGCCATCTATTGGCCTCCCAGGAGCCGCGGTTAACTGGCAGGTGCCGTTAATTGGCTGCCCAGAAGCCGGCAAGCGCCGCCAATTGACCACCCAGTTGCTGGGGTTAACCGCAGCTTAATTGACTATACCGGGTGGCCGCGGATACATATACTGAACACTGGATGGCAGCAGTCTGCAGTTCACACACAGCCGGTTCATTCACGGATTTACTGAATGAACCCATTTAACCCAGATAGCTATGCCATGGAGCCTATTCGTGTAATAAAAGACTTTGGCTCCATGGCAATTGAATTGTATGTGTGTGGTCATTCAGTAATAATGTGCGCTCAGACCTAAGCTATCTGGGGATATGTTGCATGTCTGTATTTTATGTAATAAATGTAACCTTGTGTATTTTATTGTATTTCACTGTCTTTTTACTGCCATGTGCTTAATGGAGTTTTGCCTCTGTCTTGGAGATAATTGGATTACTTCCCAATTAGCTCCAGGATAGAGAGGCGGGATTGTGATGTCATTGTGGAAGTGTTTATCTGTGTTTTATGTTTGATTGGATGTTCCACAAAACCCTGTGGGTGGGACTTTGTCTGTAAAATGTGGCCAATAAAGACACAGCTCAGTCTGTTCCTGCTTGACCCTCAAAACGGAGCCTTGTCTCATTCTTGGGGGGATTTATTGTATGATGTTCCAGTTCGACTGCTAGGAGTGTAAACCAGTCGTATGGTTTTACCTATTCGTCTGTTTACAGCATTCGTATGTTTGAGAGCATTCATATGCTTCTCCGGTTCGGTGGATTGGTGTCTACAGTTGCTGCCTGTATATCTGGAAGGGAATATCCCCTAAACGGCTGTTAACCCCTTTTATGCCTGGGGGTGCCGTTACAAAAAGTATACAAACATAGCCAGGATTCAGCTGTAAGCGTTTGCAACACTTACAACAATCAAGTAACACACATTCATATAAAATGTGAGTTACTTAGCCAGTCATCTAATGACAGGAATGAATAAATAGAGAACTCCCTAATTCCCATGGTATTAGGGAGCTATCCCATAGTATTAGTAAATTATGCCCCTACTCACTATATCGCGATCAGGGGCATGTCTATTAAACAGTGAGCAGCCTGTGGCGGGTGGGGGCCCTAAAGAAAAATTGGGGGGGGGACCTAATGTCTGACCCCCACCCCTGAGCGGTGGGTGGGGGCCCTAGATACAAATTGGGGGGGACCTAATGTCCTCCCTCCTGGCCCCCACCCCTGAGCGGTGGGTGGGGGCCCTAAACAAGAATAAGGGGGGGACCTAATGTCCTCCCCCCTGGCTCCCACCCCTGAGCAGTGGGTAGGGGCACCTAAACTAGAATAGGGGGGGGACCTAATGTCCTCCCCCCTGGCCCCCACCCCTGAGCGGCGGGTGGGGGCCCTAAATACAAATTTAACCCCCCTCCCCCCAGGTGACTAGTGGTCCCCAAATCCCTAATCACCCCCTCCTCAAAAAAATGAACCCCTACCTACCCCCCTCTCACCCTAAAAAAAATGAGGGGGGGACCTTTCACTAAGTAAATTTGTATTTTGGGCCCCCACCCGCCACTCAGGGGTGGGGGCCAGGAGGGAGGACATTATGTCCCCCCCCCAATTTGTATTTAGGGCCCCCACCCACCGCTCAGGGGTGGGGGCCAGGGGGAGGACATTAGGTCCCCCCCAATTTGTATTTAGGGCCACCACCCACCGCTCAGGGGTGGGGGCCAGGGAGGAGGACATTAGGTCCCCCCCCTTATTCTAGATTAGGGCCCCCACCCACCGCTCAGGGCTGGGGGCCAGGGGGGAGGACAATAGGTCCCCCCCCCAATTTGTATTTAGGGCCCCCACCCGCCGCTCAGGGGTGGTGGCCACGGGGGAAGACATTAGGTTCCACCCCCCAATTTGTATTTAGGGCCCCCACCCACCGCTCAGGGGTGGGGGCTAGGGGGAGGACAATAGGTCCCCCCCTTATTATAGTTTAGGGCCCCCACCCACCGCTCAGGGGTGGGGGCCAGGGGGGAGGACATTGGGTGTGTGTCCCCCCCAATTTTTATTTAGGGCTCATGGGTGGGGGCCGTTGGGGAGGACAATAGGTCCTCCCCCCTTTTTTTACTTTAGGGTCCCCATCCGCCGCTCAGGGGTTGGGGCCGGGGGGAGGCTCAGGAAGGGGGACTTTTTTTTTTTTTTAACAGTGAGCAGCCACAGGCTGTTTAATAGACATGCCACTACTCCCGGTAAAGTGAGTAGGGGCAAAATTTACTAATACTAAGTAATTTTTACTTAGTTTTAGTAAATTTGGCTGAAAGACCAATTTAGGTCTTTCAGCCTTTTGGTAGATATCCCTAATACCGTGGGAATTAGGGAGTTATCTACCAAGCGGCTGCAAGAGAAGTCCCGGAATGCCCGATGCCCGAAGTGTCTAAGTTCCGAAGTGCCGAAGTCCCGAATTGACGAAGTCCCAAATTTCGGAATGCCAAACCGAGCTGAATATTTTCCCCATGCACATGCCAACTTGTTTGGTGAGTATATTCTTGGCCGGTGTAAACAAAATATACCTTCATTTTAAATGAATCCAGAACCCTTATCTGTAGGGAGACTGTGTTTTGATGAAGGTTTATTTGAATCAAAACATTGCTTCTTCTGCAATAAATAATGAGGTATCTTCATAAAGAGCAGAATAGCAATCGAATAATGCTTGATTAATGACTACTTTGTCTTTTTTCGAGCTGTAGATTGCTATGTGATATCCATTTGTCTGTTCAAAAAAAGTTTGATTATTTTATTTTTATTTTCGCGCTCCTGCTTCTCCCCCCCTCTACGTCCTCCGTTCCACTTCCTGCTCCTTACTTCCAATTCCCACCCTAAGAAATAGGTCCTTTAAATATTGAATAATCTGCCAGGGAACATGCAAACTGCTAGCAGCCTGAAAACAACTCACTCTTTCTACATTTACTCAATAGATAACTGCACTTAACAATTGTTAATTCATAATTAAGTATGCCTATTACATGTGACACAATGTACTTAGAATTGTATTGTATGTGTTTCCTATTATATTTGCGATAGTGTATTTGTTTGTTCTCTCCGGGGCATATTTGAAAACAAGAAAAACCTAAATGTATAATTTTTGTTTGGTAAAATATTTTATACCCAAATAAATACATTTTCTCTTCCATCTGGCTGTCATTCAGGTAGCTGTTCAAATCAGCAAAATATACATTTGCAAATTTGGCTGTTGACGAACAGAGCAATTACAGTAGAATCAAGCATGTCCAAGTTATCATCTCATTGACTTCCATTTAACCCCTTAAGGACCAAACTTCTGGAATAAAAGGGAATCATAACATGTCACACATGTCATGTGTCCTTAAGGGGGTTAAATACAGTTCCAGATGTTGAGTCACGCTGAAAGAGTGTTGAGTTACTTGTGAAAGCTGCTCTGTGCAACGGGAAGGTAACCTTCGGCACTCCAGATGTTGTTGACTACACCTTCCATAATGTTCTTACATCCATAATGCTGGCAAAGCATTAGGGGAGATGTAGTCCACCATATCTTTAGTACCAAAGGGTGGCTATCC